GAATTCTTAGTATCGTATTATAGTTGGTATGTCCTTTGAGTGGCTATTCATTTTGTAGTCACAACAGTTCGTTCGGATACATTCTAACAGCTACGTCGCATATGCTCCCAAAACCTTCACCCCCGCTCACATAATCTCATCGAATCAGTTTTCGATGAGAACCGAGCAGTTTCGTTTCTCCTAACTGAAACTTAAACGGTCGGAGGCGTTAACTGGTAATAGCATTCTTGTGCAAAGTTTATTTGGTTCTCTTCGGATGTAATAATCAAATGTATGATTTCATTTGATTTGTGAAACATGAATTTTTTCACTTCATTCGCTGTGACTGCGTTTTTCATCAATTCTTGTTGATCTGCGCGTGAATAATGTTGACATTGATTGTACTTATATTGATTTCATTCATGATTTATGCTGGATTGTTGTTTTCAAAAATTTTGATGCCCAAATTTGAGGGTAACTGAATATAGAGAAAACAAAAACAGTATCTCACGGAAATCGATACATAGTGCTCAAGGTAAGGCAGAACTGAGAGCAACAATAGAGAGGAGAGAAGGTGGTGAACGAAACTCTCGCTTGTTTCGACTAGCGGAGAAACTGAGGAACAAGGCCGAGCGAATTCAATCAAATGGCCGGCTCGATCGATTATATATGTCCACTGAAAACAGCAAGGATGATTGGATCGAATTTTGATTTGAACCTATGGCGTTGGAAGCACAAGAAAATAATGGTCAACCTTTTGATTTGTGAGCAACATGTAAGGGAACCGATGAAATAGACTCAAGAAAGTTGAATCTAACTACACCTGTGAATACATTCAGAAGTAAAGTAACTATCCTCCAACCAAAGCATGAAAACGGATATTCGCTATTTCTGCATTCAGCTAGGACGAGAAAACCAAAGAAGAGGTTCATTAAGAGTACAGCTCGAGAGATGAAAATTTTCTGGAAATTATTAGCGAGGCAGAAGGTACCGTATCGAATGAGTGTTAGTTTATCAAACGTACTACTGCTTAAATTTGACGACAATCCTCTTGAATTCAAAAGTTTCTCGCACCAATTCAACAACTCAGTCCATCCGGAGAATATCACCGAAGCCGCCAAACTTACCCCATCTGCTTTCTGCTACGTGTGAAAAGGTGAAAACCTCATTAAACGATTCACCTGTATGCAGATTTAGCAATGCTATCTATGGTGAAGCAGTTGATATTTTGCACAAGCGACTTGATGTGATGTAAATCTAGTGTGCACAGCCTCGTACATCCAGATCAAAAACCTCCCCAGAGTGGGAACTTTCATGGACAATATAATTCTACTCCTCAGTCACCTTGGAACTGTGTTCTACGTAGTGAGTAATTTCTTTCTCGTTTCAAACTGTTGATGAATCATTAAATTGTAACGATTGCCCGTTGCTCTTAACAGCCCATTAGACGTTATGCGCCACCATAAGAATGTTAACGTTCAATTCAGCTGTAAACAGCTCATTTCATCTGCAACTATCAATATGATTGAAGTGCAAGCAAATAAAACGACTGTAGTACATTTCACCTTCAAAAGTGATTTGTAGAGCTTTAAAAACGATTGAAAATGATTAACAATCAAATAATTCGAGGAAAAACTATCTGCTCGTAAAATGTATGATTAAAGTCTTAAAAACTCTACGAAAGTCATCATCTCACTGAGTATGGCAAACAAATCACCAGAGTAATTAACAAATCCTTACATGCTGTTGAAAACATGTGATGAGTGTTCGTTGTTAACTGGAATTCATCAAAAGCATTCAGCGTCGCTTTGCACTTACTGAAGTATTTAATCGCACTGGATGAGTTCCGCCAGTCATTGTCACATTTGTACGTGTGCATGCACGTCCGATTTCATTATTTCGAGGTTCATTTCTTAAGTCAACGAAGGTGTTGCAACACCGAAATAATGCTCGAATCACTCATGGCTCTTGGGAACATTTCTTCGTTTGTTTGAGCAGTTGGCAGCAATGAGTTGTGAGCGCACGATAGATCAGTGCTGTGAGGCATATTTTGCTCCCCGACTCTTACTTTTGATGCAACTCGTGGAGTAAAATTGCTGCATTGTCTCGCAGTATACCATCCATCGGGCGTTACCTATTCCTTTGACCCAATTCTCATCATTTCCGGTCGAATAAACCGTAAAATTTCCCCTAATTCTTCATGAGCGATTCTCCTCAGTTGTAGCTCAACCGCTTGTTATCGGCGTACAGAATCATCTAAAGTATAGATCTGAATGCTTTGCATTCGGCTAGCTAAAATAAACACAACTTCAATCTGCTAGAATTTAAACTTTTTCTCATTTTTTGTGATTTCTTGGAAATGAAAGTATGGGTTAGCAGCAGGTTTCTCTAATCGTCGTTTGAAACACTTATGAAACATCTGCTCAACCATTTTGTTTAATTTTTATTCACCTAACAGTAATTAATGGCTGTTGTTGGTTCGTGTCCGTCGGGGGTTTTTATGGCCAAAACAAATCAAGTCTCGTTGATTAGCAATTCATTAGGCGCAGGATTCCAACCAGAAAGTCAGGGAGCCTAACAAAGGAAGAAAGATCTTACTTGAGNTCTTACTTGAGGAATGTTGATGCTCGTTGCTGTATTACACCATGCAGTTATATGGATCGTATTCAAAAATTTAAAATTGTTACATTAGAACTGAGACGACTCCAATTTGATTTGATATTTGTTTATAAAATACTGCATTCTATGATCGATATGAAAATGGAATCACTCTTCGAATACATGTACAGTCACACAAGATGACACGCACATCGTTTAAAAGTTTCGTATTTAGCACATACCAACAAGGTGTCCCAATTCTTCGAATATCGCATCATAAGCATCTGGAATGCACAGCCTCAAGAAGCAGTAGAGGCCAGCACGCTAGCACGATTCAACTCACACCTCAAGGCACTATCGTATTATTTGATAAAAGTTCTCTAATTCGCAGTTAAACTTCCTCATCTCATTCACACAGTTTATATAGTTGAACTTCTTTTCACATATGTCCCGTAATTGTACTGTTTCATATATCACAGCATAGAATTATATCTGAATCATTAACATTAACCTGTTTATTTTAATCTGTTATTATTTTATACTTATTCAAGCAACTGGCATGATGTCAGAGCGCTCCGCCTTTTATGCTGCATTATTGCTTGTACATATTTCTTACTCGGCAATAAACTATCATATCATATCACATCATAAGTCCCGGCTTGTAGATGAGAGCTAGGTGTAATGCATCACTGTATCCGCCTTTTAGATGAGAGCTAAGTGCAATGCATCACTGTATTACCTTGGTACATGACCACATTTTCTACCGAATGTTTGGTCATAGCTCGAGTTCGTCGTAAGCCGAAACGTGTTCATTCAACAGTGACTGATGGAAAATAGATTGATTCATTTTAGCCGATTCAAATTAAGGTGAAGAAAAGCTGTACGTTGGTGTTGTTAACATTCGTCGGAGAATGAAATCTCCATCGGGGTTCCCGACGACAAGCACTTCCCCACCAATTTTGCATCCCGAATTTTTGGTCAGGCTCACCCACCTGGACCAATTACTGCTCGTATAGACACCATCCGGTCAGCTCGCTGCCCCATCCGTGGCCAATAAGCTGTCTCCCGACGGACCATTTTTTGGGCGTGAAAATAAAGGTTGAATCCGTTTTAGCGACACAGAGTTCCATATGGAAATCTTCACATTAGGCGGTTTGGTTCATTTGTTGCAAGCATTTAGAAGTGCGGTCCCAAAATGCTCACGGAATATTTTCATTGGTCACTATGCAATTGAAGAGAAGTTTTTGCAGAATCGGACAATTAGAGGTGTGAATGAAGTTGATCTTCATTTCGTTACAAGCCCTGCTTTGTCACAAAGTGAGCGAGCATTTTGAGAAGCCTGATCAGGATATACAACAAAATCACGTTATTGTTGTAAACACTGGTAGGGCTGAAATATGAGTAAATCAGAAAACGCGGACGGGATGCCGTCAGGTCTCGGAATTCGCATCACAACGCTGGTTGAAGTCTTCTTGAATGTGATCAACATCGCGTTGACGATTGTTCTGTTCATTCGGTTACGAAAGGTCAAAATGATGCACAGAAATCTGCGAACAATGCTGGTTAGTAACACTCAATGTGTTTCAAGCACTTGCTTGTTCAATTTCAATCGCAGTCGTGTG